AATTACATAATGTCTTTTCATCAGTTCTGAGATTTGAATTCATGTATCATTCCCTATATCCTTTTAATAAAGTAGTTTATAGTATACTTCTATAATTATATGATTTCTATTCTGAAAGTTTAGTTTTACCTCGAAGCTCTCTTCCATAGTTCCTTTCTGATCGGTGTAAATTTTTATTTACAACTTCTAAATATACTGTGGTTCTCTGCTTGTTAATCTCAGAGATTTGTATTTTTGAAATAAGATATACTCTTACATGACTATGTTTCACTTATTGGTTTTATCCCACTAAATCTTTGTGCTAAGATCAAGGCTGGAGTTAATCTGAGTTATTACTCTATTTTGTGCATTGAGTCACTAATTCATCAACTGTCAACTCAATACCTGTGTCCTACATTCAGGGAAGAAATAGATGAAGAAAGTAAAACTCTTTTCCTCAAGGATTTCCAATATTTGAGGGGGAGGACAAGAATATAGACAAGATAAATAATTACTGTTTAATGTGATAAGTGTTCTGACAGAAATATGAACAAAGAACAAAAGTAAGTAGAACTGTATGGGGAGCATAATTATGATTTGTCTAGAAAAATATTTAGAGAAAACTTATATGGAGGTTCCATGTAAGATGGTAAAGAACCTTGACAGGATAAGGAAAATGGAATGACTTTTAAAATCTTAAGTATTAGTTCCATTCTCTTTGCATTGATTTTTCTCCTACAAATTCTCCTAGAAAGATAACTGGTTCTCTAAGAATTCAGTCCATTCAATTTAATCAGTACAAAACTCTAAGCTAATATAAGAAGCTACTCATTATTGTTAGGATAAATATATTAAAATAAAATCTAGAAATTCAAAGAAACATATCAAAATAAACTCATTCTCTTTACTACCAACTGTAAATAGGAATTTATTTTCTTCTAGTTCTGGAGACTGGAAGTCTAAGAACAAGGTGTCAGCAGGGTTGCTGTCTCATGAGGGCTCTCCCCTTGGTTTGCAGATGGCAGCTTTCTTGCTGTGTGCTCACATGGCCTTTCCTTAGTGTACGTGCAAGGAGAGAGTGAGAGCTTCAGTGTCCCTTCCTTTTTTATAAGGACATGAATCCCATTGCACAGGGCTCCACTCTCATGACTTCATTTTAATGTAATTATCTCCCAAAGGCCCATTTCCAAATACCATCACATTGGGGGTTAGGGTTTCAACATTTGAATTTGGGGGGACACATTCAGTTGGTAGCAGTAAGTTAGGAAGTATGTCAGTAGATTTGTTAATCAATAAGAAAGGTGAGACACTGTCCCCACCCTGAAGAATGGCAATATCTTTCTAGTGAGGAAACCAAACTGAGCTTGGACATACCTGTTAGCAAAGCGTAATTCAAAACAATGTAAAATTAAAAAACTCTTAGACTACAGAACTATTCTCAAAATCAGCTTTCTTCTTACTATTTTGTGACTCAGATTTATGATAGTAAAATATCCAAAGAAAACCACCTTGATAATATTATTGTTATACATGTCAGGTTTTTATATCCAGGCTTTAATTTGAAAATTTGAACTGCAGGTATGAACATTTTCCATAGGCAAACCTACCAATAATTTTAAATTAGTTACTGCAAATTTCAAATGACCTGCTATTTTTCTTAATATAAAAACCATCTTGACATGTTTTAACAGCACCTCTAGAAATTATATATTATATGCTAACATATGGTAGTGGGACATAGCTATATCCTCTAGTCTTAATTATAGGAAAAGTATAGGCAACTGTAAGGCTTAGCTTTATTGTTTTATAAATGAACCAGTAAAGTTCATTTTAGTGAAATGAGCACATGCTTTTCATAAATTAAAACAAATCTCACATGGTAAAGTACCCATTTTGAAAATTAATTTAATTACATGTTTAAAATT